CGCGGTACCAGGTGTACTGATGCACTTTTCGATGCTCGAAGAAGGTGTTCATAATAGACAATCCGTTGTTAGCGCAAAACCGCAAAGTTTCATGACGTTATTGTTGGGGTGGAAATTAAATCCCACCGTATTATGTAAGGAATTTCATCGGAATGATTCCAATGCTTTCATGTATAAAATGGGCGAAATAGCGATTTTACTGAGTATGACTTGCACCAGATCTTGCAGCTACTGCAAGCCCCCGCCTGTTGTAAAACGAAGCTCGCGATCTCCAGATTGAATTTAAGATGCTTTTCGAAAAACAAGAAATCAGAGATATGCACGGATGTCCCAAAATCAATTTCCCCTGTTCTATGCAGCGCCTTCTTGACAAAACGTTAAAACTGAAACGTTGGAAACTGACTCTTTCCAGTCTATCGAACTGTCACACTGAATGCCATTGCGACAGTTTAAATGTATGCGCAATTAGAACCGGAGAAGAGGCTATTTTTGAATGTCGTCGTCTTGTATAAACCTTATATGATAATCAGTGCACGTGAACGTATGAAATGAGTGGTAAACAAAACTAACGTGGGCAAAGAGTCTATTCATTCACTTAGCTTAAAATGACGATGACCATAGCAAGAGAATCAAAACGGCTGAAGCCACATGCATCAAAATTAAAATAGTTCATTTCAAAAAGAATTGTAAGGGTAAATCTGTTCAGTTCACAACAACGTCTCACGGACGTTCATTTTCATAAATGGGAACGACACAACTCCAGAACGAACAGCACCAAGTGCTTAGCCATTCACTCCGTGAGGTATAGACGCCAAACTCATTCTTCGTTATAATTTTGTAATGCGTAAATATTCATATTTAGATGAAGGACAATGACCGATAAGTGATTTTCTGAGTCCTGAGTAATGTGGAAAATATGGCATCTTAACCGAAGCGTACAAAAGTTTAAAGCAATGAGAATGTTGGCCCAGTCGAAAATTTCACGAATAGTCAAATGTGCATGCATTCTCTTTTGTGTATTGCATCGCTTTCGTTTATTAATCATTTTTTGTGCTTCTCCTTCTGACAACTTCCTGGAAGGTCGGCAGTTCCATCTACCATAACAAAAAACATGACTTGAGTTCGAACAATAGCCATCCTTTAAAAAGAACCTAAGATAGTTATTGGCCAATGTTATGAATCCCAGATGACGATGACTGTGGCAATTGCTGAACATGACAATGGTCGAAGTGTTACCAGGGTAAAAGAAGCTGTTATTTTTTTACCACCAGTACACATGATGTACGCGAGTATTTCATTCGTGCACCGATACCATACCGAAAAACGTTTCAATCAATATCTCACGGACCTTCTTTAGGGTAAAGTGGTTGGTTTTCGATTATTCTTGTTGTAATCTGTAGTAGATAGAACCGAACAAAGGCATTACCAGACGCCAAAAATCAACGATCGCAAAAGAACAGTCAACCTACCCTGAGAAATGTTCGTGAGATGCGTACCGAAACGTCAGCGGTGGTCTGTCATTCAATAAACGACCATATTTGTTTGTGTTG